GAAAAAATTAAAATTTAAAGAGAAAATATACAAACCATACACCAAAAAACAAAAAAACAGTAAGAGAAGAAGAAACAAAGGATAAACAAAACAACCAGAACACAACTAAGAAAAAGGCAGAAATAAGTCATCTCCTATAAATAATAATTTTGAATGTAAACAGATTAAATCTCCCAATTAAAAGATGTAGACTGATTAAATAGATTAAAAACAAGACCCAGCCACATGATGTCTACAAGAAACCCACTTCACCTGTTAAGGCACATATAGACTGAAAGTAAAGGAATAAAAAAAGATATTCCATGCGAATGAAAACTAAAAGCAAGCAGAAGTCGCTATACTTCTATCAAATAAAACAGACATTAAGTCAAAAACTGTAAAAAGAGACAGAAAAGGTCACTGTACTGTGGTCCCTCAGTATACATGGAGGATTTGTTCCAGGACTCCCAATCTATACTAAAATTCATACATAGTCAATATCACAGTTGGTCCTGTGAAACCCACACATATAAAAAGCAGGCATTCTGTATACTCAGCTTTGTAGCCCATGAATACTATATTTTTTGTTGTTGTTGTTCACATGTGGCTTAAAAAAAATCATGCAGTTCACACCTGTGATGTTCAAGGTCAACTGTATAATGATAAAGGGAGAGAGAATATCACGATTCTAGATATATATACACCCAACACTGGAGCTTTTTTTTTTTTTTTTTGAGATGGAGTCTCACTGTTACCCAGGCTGGAGTGCAGTGGCGCAGTCTCAGCTTACTGCAACCTCCACCTGCCAGGTTCAAGTGATTCTCCAGTCTCAGTCTCCCAAGTAGCTAGGACTACAGGCGCCTACCACCATGTCTGATCTTTTTTTTTTTTTTTTTTTCCGTATTTTTAGTAGAGTTGGCCAGGCTCGTCTCAAACTCCTGACCTCGTGATCTGCTCGCCTTGGCCTAATCCCTCTCAAAGTGCTGGGATTACAGGAGTGAGGCAACCCCAACTGGCCTGGAGCATTTTTATACAAATCAAATATTATTACACCTAAAGGGATAAATAGACTCCAACACAGTAATAGCTGGGGACTTCAACATCCTACTCTCAGCACTGAACAGATCATCTAGACAAAAAAACCAAGAAACATTGGATTTAAAATGTACTTCAGACCCTAACAGACATTTACAGAACATTTTATCCAACAGCTGCAGAATATACATTCTTCTCATCATCATATGAATAGACCATATGTTAGGCCACAAAACAAATCTCAACAAATGGAATAAAACTAGACATCAGTAACAAGAGAAACTCTGGAAACTGTAGAAACACATGGAAATGAAAAAAAAAAAAATGCTCCTGAACAACCACTGGGTCAGTGAAAAAATTAAGAAGGAAATAAAAAAAATTCTTGAAACAAATAAAAATGGAAACACAACAATAACAAAAACAATAATAGAAGAAGTGATAACAGGGACGTTTGTAGCAATAAACACCTACATCAGGAAAGTTGAAAGATTTCAAGTAAAGAATCTAAAGATGGGCCTCAAGGAACTAGAAAAGCAAGAAAAAACCAAACCCAAAATTAATAGAATAAGAAAGATCATAGCAAAACTAAACAAAATAGAAACCAAAAGGTAATAATAATACAAAGGATTAATGAAATAAAAAGTTAGTTTTTTGGAAAGGTAAACAAAACCGATAAACTGTTAACTACACTAACCAAGAAAAAAATGAGAGAAGACCCAAGTAAATAAAATCAGAAACAAAAAAGAAGACATTATGACTGATACCACAGGAATACAAAGAATCAACAGAAATTATTAGAAACAAATTGGAAAACCTAGAGGGAATGGATATAATCTATCTAGATGGAACCAAAAGGAAATTAAAAACTGAACAGACCATGAGTAACAAGATTGAATCAGTAATAAAAAGTATTCCCACAAAGAAAATCTCAGGACTGGCTGGCTTTACTGTTGAATTCTTCCACACTTAAAAAGAAGAATTAACAGCGATCCTTCTCAAACTATTCCAAAAAATTGAAGAGGACTGAATTTTCCCTAACTGATTCTATGAGGCCAGCAACAGACAACGGCACAACAAAGAAAGAAAACTACAGGCCAATATCCCTAATGAACATAGATGCAAAAATCCTAAACACAATACAAGCAAACTGAATCAACAACACATAAAAAAGATAACACATCATGAGCAAGTGGGATTTATTCCAGTGATGCAAGGAAGGTTCAACATATGCAAATCATTTGATGTGATACATCACATCAACCAAATCAAAGACAAAAACCTTACAAAACCTTATGATCATCTCAATAGACACAGAAAAAGCATTTGATAAAATTCAACATCTCTTCATGATATAAACTCAACAAAGTAGGTATAGAAGGAATACACACATTTCAACATAATAAGGGCCATATGCAACAAACTCACTGGTAAATTTGTACTGAATGGGAAAAAGCTGAAAGCCTTTTCTGTAAGAAGTGGAACAAGACAAGAATCCCTACTTTCACCATTCTTATTCAAAATAGTACTAAAAGTCCTAGCCAGAGCAATCAGTCAAGACAAAGAAATAAAAGGCATCCAACACTGAAAAAGGGAAGTCAAATTGTCCCTCTTTGCAGATGGCATGATCTAAAAAAACCTAAAACTCACCAAAATCTCTTAGAACTGACAAGAGCTGTAAATGAATAGGGTTATTATAGAAAACAGTGTAGAGATTTCTCAAAAACTAAAAACACAGGTTACAAAAATCAGTACTGTTTCTATATACCAGTAACAAACTGACTGAAAAAGAAATCAAGAAGGCAGTCCCATTTACAATGGCCACCAAAAAAATAAAAATAACAAAAATCTAAGAATTAACTAATGAGGTAAAAAACTTCTACAAGGAAAACTATAAAACACTGATGAAAAAAGTTGAAGAGAACACAGATAAATGGAAAGACATCCCATGCTCATGAACTAGAAGAATTAATATTGTTAAAATGACCATACTACTCAAAGCAGTCTACAAATTCACTGCAAACTCTATCAAAATACAAATGACATTCTTCACAGAAACAGAGAAAACAATCCTAAAATTTGTATGAATTCACAACAGGCTCCAAAGAGTAAAGCAGTACTGTGCAAAATGAGCAAAGCTGGAGGCATCACACTACCTGACTTCAAAATAGATGAAACTATAGTAGTCAAAACAGCATGGTATTGGTATAACAACAGACACACAGACTAATGGAACAGAATAGAGAAACCAGAAATAAATCCACATATTTATAGCCAAATGATTTTCAACAATGGTGCTAAGAACATAATTTGGGGAAAGGATACCCTCTTCAATAAATGGTGGTGGGAAAACTGAATAGCCAGTCATACGCAGAAGAATGAAGCCAGACTCCTATCTCATACCAGATAAGAAAATCAACTCAAAACAAACTAAATACTTAAATTTAAAACCCCAAACTATAAAAATACTAGAAGAAAGCACAGAGGAAGCACTTGAATTCATCTAAACAAAAATTTTATGGCTAAGACCTCTAAAGCATAGGCAACAAAAACAAAAACAGACAAATAAGATTATATTAAACAAAAAGCTTCTATACAACAAAGGAAACAATCAACAGAGTAAAAAGACAACCTGAAGAAAATATCTGCAAACTATTCATCTTACAGGAGGCTAACATCTAGAATATATAATGAACTCAAACAACTCAACAACAACAAAAATAATTTCATTAAAATATGAGCAAAGGATCTCAATAAACATTTCTCAAAAGCAGTCATATAAATGACCACCTGGTATATGAAAAAATGCTCAGTATCACTAATCATCAGAGAAATACAAATCACAACCACAATGAGATATCATCTTATCCCAATCAGAATGACTACTATCAAAATGACAAAAAATAAATGCTGGTGAGAATGCAGAGAAAAGTGAACTCATACAGTGTTGGTGAGAATGTAAGTTAATAGGGTCATTATTGAAAACGGTACAGAGATTTCTCAAAAAAACTAAAAATACAGCTACCATAAGATCCAGCACTCTCAGTACTGGGTGTTTACCCAAAGCAAAGGAAATCAGTATACCCAGGAGTTTCTACATTTCCATATTTATTGCAACACTATTCACAATATACAAGATACAGAATCAACGTAAGACACCATCAATGGATGAACGGATAAAGAAAATGTGGTAAATGCACATAATAGAATAGTATGCAGCCATAAAAAAGACTGAAACCTGTCATCTGCAGCAGCATGGATGGAACTGGAGGTCATTACGTTAAATGAAATAAGTCAGGTACAGAAAGACAAATACATTCTCTTATTGCTCATATATGGGAGCTAAAAAAGTTGATCTAATGGCGGTAGAGAGTAGAATGATAGTTACCAGAAGCTAAGAAGGTTGGGGAATGGGGGTGAGGATGACAGTGGGATGAAGAGACGCTGGCTAATGGATACAAATATAGAGCTGGATGGAAAAAATAGGTTCTAATGTTCAATAGCACAGTAGTGTGACTATAGTTAACATAATATACTATATATTTCCAAATACCTAGAAGGGGCTATTTGAAATGTCTGCAACACAAAGATAAATGTTCAGGGTGATGTACAGCCTAAATACACTGATTTGAGCACTACATACTACATACATTTAACAAAGTATCACATGTACCCCATAAATGCAAGTATTATGTATCAATTTTAAAATTTAAAAGAAAAGAAATATGGAGCAAATCCAAAGAAAAACCAGGGAATGGCTAGTCTCTTCCAGAAATACTGTTTTTCAACCATCACTTGCTGTTGTGTATTTCAAACATAAAAGCCATTACGCACCATCTACCAGCCATAAATCAAATATGAAAGCCTGTAACCTGACAAGTATGATTCAAGGAACAATGTGAACTTCAATAGTCCCTTCTGCCCTTGTAAAGGTAGCTGGATCAAGACAACTTGGTTTAAGACAATATTATATTATATAAGATACCTACCATTGCTCACCATCCGCCTGGCCACTTCCCACAAAACAAGTCCAAAGGCCCAAATATCGACCCTTTTATAAGAATCGAAACAATCCACCTGGATGGTTTCATCTAGAACTTCGGGGGCCATGTAGCGCTTCGTGCCCACACGGGGATTGTTCCCCACATCAAGCTGATTGGTGCTCTGGGAATGCATGACTGCCAAGCCTGAAAGAAAGAAGATAACAATGTAACCAACTCATTTCCTTTCTCATAAGAGGCTGCTGAAGGATTTTAAACAAACCCCAATCAAAAGTGCCCTCTTGTGGACCCAGGGTCACTGTTGCGTTATACTCAGAATAATCCCTAGAGTGCCCTTTGTGATTATTTCTGGGGTGAGAGCAGAAAAGCGACTAACTGTCAGAAACATTCTGAGGCTATTAGGTTAATATATGAACCTCTAAGAGACAAAAAGTTTTGGGTAAATTGTAGACCAATGCACTAAGCCAATATGTGGCCAGTGTTTGAAGTCCACAGGAAAACAGGCTCACATATTAAATGTGAGCCTCAAACTGGCTTAACAAGAAGCAAATTAAGCTCTCGAGTTCCACCACTGCTCTCACTAGTCTCCAAACACAAATTTCCAACAGTGTGAGATAGAGTATTTGAAGTAATTTATCACCACATAAAGGGCAGACTGTTATACGCACTGCTTTATTCCTAAAGGAAGAGCTGCTTATCTGAGCAATAATGCTGACCAAACCCACAGGCCTTTCTCTAGAATCATGGAAACACAGAGCATTTAACTGGACCTCAATTGAAAGCACAACTCTCAGGTTAAATGGCTTTCAAATGCTTTCTTAAAGCATGACTCATTCCAGAATTCCTCAGTCAATTAGGGAATGGGCCTTCTTCACTGGCCAGCGGGGACAGACAGATACATGCATGCTTTGAGGATGATTTTATGTTATTGATGCATAGGCAGATTGACTGAAAATGATTCCTATAACAGTTGCTGTAATGAAAAGTGCTGAACTGGAGCAAGCAGTCCCTGTAAACCACTACAATCCAAGTATCCCTTGGGGATCTCTCGAGCCATCTACAGAGAATGCTTCACCTTCCACTCCATGGCTTCGAATGAAGGGCATGACAATTTCATATAACATCAGGGAGCTAGCACACCTCATCTCATCCTTAACCATTAGCAAATATACTGGAATTGCATTCAACTAAAACAGGTTCCTCTTTCCTCTATTTTTATAATCAACCCCAAGAATCTATGGATACTGTGAACATTTCCCAAATCCTATGCAATAGACTCCCTTATCCTTCAGTTACCCACAGTTAACTGCAGTCCAAAAATAGGTGAGTACTGTACAATTAAGATATTTTGAGACAGAGAGGCCATATTCACATAAATTTTATTATAGCATATTGCTATCATTGTTCCATTTTATTATTACTTATTGTTTGTCTTTTACTGTGCCTAATTTATAAATTAAACTATAATAGGTATGTAATAGAAAAAAACATAGTATATATAGAATCTGATACTATCCTGGGTTTCAGGAATCCACTGGGAGTATTGGAAGGTATTCCCCATGGATAAGAGGAGACTTCAATACACCCCTTCACCATTTCCAGAACCAAAGAGTCTAAATACCAGAATATGTAAAAGGTGCAGTTTAAATAGAACATGGAGATATTCTGAAGATGAGAGAAGCTTCAAAGAACTTGTGGACACATTTTAAAGCCACCACAGCTAGATTCTCCAGGTGAAGCATAATTCCCCATCCCCTGAGTGTATGCTGGACTATTGAATAGAATATGGCAGAAGTGACAGAGGGTATCTTCACAATTAGGACATAAAAGGCATTATAAAATTATAAAAGACTTACTGTTTGTCCCTCTCAGCTCACTCACCATGCACCATATATAAAGACACTCAAGCAGCCCTGTGGAGAGGTCTCACTGCAAGGAACTGAGGCCTGCTGCCAATCATGGCTGTGTGTCATCATAGAGTTGGATCCTCCAGCTCCGGTTGGGCCTTCAGATGACTACAACCTCCATGAGACCCTGAGCCAGAACCATACTGCTAAGTCATTCTAAGATTCCTGACTTTCAAAGGACTGTGTGAAATAACAAATCTGTGTTGTTGTAAGCTGCTAAATTATACAGGTAATTTGTTCTTAGTAATAAATAATTTTTACACTAAAGATGACAAAACAACCAGATGCAATTTGTAAACCGTGCCTGAGTTCTTTTTTAAAAATACTGGAAATACTTGAAAATGAACATCAAATGATACTAGAGAATTATCAAGAATCTGTAGATATGATAAACCAATTATGCAGAAGATGGATTTTAAAGTATTTTCAAGGGATGTATTTGGAAGTACTGAGGAGTAAAGTGTTGTGATGCCTGTAACACTTTATTTTCAAATGGATTGGCAAAACTATACACACAACCACAGACTGATAAAGCAAACCTGGCAACGTTTTAACAATTTTTGGATTTAGGTGTTCAGAATTTAAGTGATCATTATAACATTTGAATTTTTTAATAATAAGTTAGAAAAATAGGTGAGGCACAGTGGCTCACATCTGTAATCTCAGCATTTTGGAAGGCCAAGATGGCAGTGTCACTTGAGCTCAGGCGTTCAAGATCATCCTAGGCAACATAGTGAGACCTCACTTCCTAAGAACAAGAAAAAAGTTAGCCAGGTGTGGTGGTGCACATCTGTAGTCCCAGCTATTTCGGGACACTGAGGCAGGAAGATTGCTTAAGCCCAGTAGATCAAGGCTGCAGTGACCTATGATCAGCCTGGGTAACAGAATAAGACCCTCTCTCAATCAATCAATAGAATACTGACCTTTCTGCAGGATTAATCATAGAGCACTACTTCTAATAAGTGATGCTTAATTGCTAGGTATACACTGAAAAATTATATACAAATTATGGTCTTAGAGTACTGCATTCTTTACCATATCCTGAATAATAACTCCTTAACAGATTTTTATACAAACCCATATATCTAATTGGAAGGTTACAAGCCAAAAGAAATACAGTTGAAGAATTAATTAGCTGGACTTACTGCAAAGCTCCCCTCAACTCCTTCCCCACCAAGTCCCATAAACCAAAACCAAGAGCTGCCTCAATTTTGTCCACCCTTCCCAGACCACTGGATTATAACAGCAGCTACAACTTGAATCCTTATAATTTGCCAGACATTTATAATATTTCTAAGCCTTACCAGAATCCTGTGAGGTGGGTTTCATAATTTTTTAGTTACATGAATAATATATGATCACACTGTTATGGAAGTTTCTAGCAATGCAGAAGTACAGGGCACAATGCCACGCCCTGGAATTCCTCTTGGCTAACTCCCAGCCCCACCCGCCTTCGCCCTCACTGTCCCTGTCTCACTGAGGGTAAGCAGCGCCAGCACTTGGGCCAGGTAAATAGATAAATAGACTTGCACAAAAATACAGGGTTAATAATTGAGAAAGCCAGAATTTAAAAACAAATCACCCTGGCTCTAAGAGCCATGGAATAAGCCATAAAAGACCTCTCCACCACAACTAAGAATGCCTGCAAAAAATTTTAGGGCCATGCTCTTTCGATGCTTATCCTAAAATCTTTCTTCTCCTACTTGGGAAACACTGTAATTTCTCAATATAAAAGCAAAGACTTTAAAGGGATCCAAAGGAAGTAAATTTTCCTAACACGTGAAATCCCTTATGTTTAAAAACAAACAAAAATAAATAATTATGTAAATAACTATTTACATAATTAAAGCTATTTTTGTCTAAACCTTTATCAGTCTAACAATAATTTTGATAATATGAATATCATATAAACTACATTTAATCAAGTAGAAGGCTCTGAATAGTCCACTGAATTGAATATAGTTACTACAGTTCAGTTCTCATTAGCACAATTATTCAGCCAATATTCTAGGAATCCAGGATGAATGTGGTTTTATATAAAATGCCACTATAAATGAAAATACTCTTATTTATAATGCAATTAAAGCTACACTGAGCACCACTCTAACACCATAAGAATGAACTATCCTAACAGGAAATAGAGTGAGTCAGTTTGGGGATTATTTTCCTATTTCTTAACTTGATTCTTTTCCCTTGGTTACAGAATGATTTTAGACACCACTTTTAAGACAAACTAATTCTACAGACTATTTATTGTGCACCTACATCATGTGAAGGTTTGCGAAATCAGAATGCAACAGTATTGGTTACCTCTGAGATGGCGTGTGGCAGGGACTGACTGAATGAGCTTGAAGTAACTGTCAACAGTAATGGGAAACTGTATCTCAACAGGGGTTTGGGTTTTATAGCATTTGTCAAAACTCTCAGAAGGTACTTAAGATTTGTATATCTCACAGTATATAAATTTTAGCTGAAAAAAGAAAAAGCCAATAATGCACTCTTGTCAATGATATACTAGTGTGCATGTTGAAATCATTAGAAGAAAGGATTCCTTTGTCTGCAATTTACTTTGAACTCTTATCAAAGGCTGAGATGGACTGATGGATGGGGAGGTGAATAGATGGATAAATACATAATAATGCTTAAGGATATAAAATGTTAATGTGAGAATCTATGTGGTGGGTATAAAGGTATTCATTGTAAACTTTCAACTTTTCTGCATGTTTAAATTTTTCATAACATGTTGTGGGGGAGAAATATAACTCAGCTAAACATTGAAACAAAAGTAAAACTGGTAACGAAAAAAATATTTTTAGAAATTTACCCAAATCTGCTATGCAACACTGTCCATTCTTCTTAACCAGAATATTTTTGCTCTTTAAATCTCGATGGGCAATGGCCGGTTTCCCTTGGGTCCCAAATATCTCTATGTGCAAATGTGCAAGACCACTAGCTATGGACAGCACTATTCGAAGGCAGCTAACTGTATCCAGAGTAGTAAGCTGAAGATAGTCGTACAAAGATCCCATTTCATGATAATGTGTAATTAACCACAGCTGGGTACTGGAGTGTCTTGATGTCATGTCTGAAGCAATAAAACCTGGAGAGAGCAAGAACAAAATTAATACACATGAGAATTCCACATTATAACTTTAAGTATTTACAAACAGTGCCTAGCAGAGTAAATGCCATCTGTAACAAAAAGCAACTAAACTGATCAATTTCCATAAGAGGGGGTTTACAGAAGCATCAACAGAGAAAAATAATAGCACTTATTCGTTACAAGGGCACTACTAATAAATGGGAAATTTTCATATTCATTTCATTGTAAGTAACATTTTAAAAAATATTTCACATTCCTCAAGAGTCAGATAGCAATAATATCTCTGTGCTCACTCATAATGACAGTGCCAAGCCCTTCAGCAAGTTGATATTTCAGGAACAGACCATTCATCAGCTCTCCTAAAAGAACATCAAACCTAAAACCTCAATACTGTATTCTAGTCCTGACACTGCCTGTGATTTACTTGTGTAATACTGGGCAACTCAATTAGGCTCCCTAGCCTACGTCGGCTCAGATGTGAAATAAAGGGGGTGAGTTTACATTAAATAATTGATTCACCAAATACAAAAAGTAACCAACCAAATATAACGAGCATTTATGATACTCTCTGTCAATCACACACAGAAAAACCGAGATGATAGTGTTTGTTGGCTAAAGAAGACAGATGTAAAAATGAAAAAATTACAAAAAAATGTGAAAAGTACTATAATATATATCTTCAAAGGGCAATGTGAGCCCAGAGCAGGAAATTATAGTAATTCACACTAGATGTTACAAGAGGCTTCCATCAGGAAGTAGCAACTAAACTGATCTTGAAGTGAAGTGAGAGACTGACATATGTGGATGAAGAGGTTGGAAGATACTTTTCTTTCTTTGTTTTGAGACTTAAGTTTCACTCTTGCTGCCCAGGCTGGAGTGCAGTGGCGTAATCTCGGCTCACTGCAGCCTACGCCTCCTGGGTTCAAGCAATTCTTCTGCCTCAGTCTCTTGAGTAGTTGGGATTACAGGCACCTGCCATCACACCTGGCTAATTTTTCATATTTTAAGTAGAGATGGGGTTTCACCATGTTGGCCAGGCTGGTCTCAAGCTCCTGACCTTGGCCTCCCAAAGTGCTGGGATTACAGGCATGAGCCACCATGCCCAGCCCAGAAGAGATTTTTTTCTAGACATTTGGAGGGAACTTTTCAGCATGCACAAGATTGTCTGGAAGTTAGGGGCACTTCCTATCTTATGAAATAAATTGTGACGTGTGCTTGCCTTTTCTGCTACAGAGGTGCCTTTCTAGGATTATTCTCACATATATGTACCACGCTGGTAGACAGTGAAGCTTGGGACTTAAAAAGAGGTGAGAAAAAAAATTTTTTTAAAGACAGATATGGCTTGAGGAAAAATTAAATGACTTATGAAAATGTAAGAGAAAATACATTAAAATGCTTTATACTTGCATAGTACTTTATATAAAATTTATGTCACTTTCACATATATTTTCTCATGAGATTTTTCTCAACAAGCTGGTAAGATAGACATCATTATGCTCATTTTACAGATAATAAAGTTGCTGCTGGGAGATGCCAAGGATCACACAGCTATTTAAGTTGCTATCGGCTCTGAATTTGGTGCTAGCTTTTCTGACACCTTGCACAGGAAGGCTCTGTAAGCCAAGAAAGGTCCCCTGTTCGATCATCATCATCTTCATCATCAGCAACCACAACAGAAGCAGCCAATAATTATTGAGTACTGAATACTAAGTGCCTGGAACTTTATATGCAATCCTCCAAAAACCACACAAAGTAGATAGGTCACACCACCGGTAGTAAGTCAGTAATGGTCCCTGTAGGTCTGCTTCTAGAAACCCAGGATCTTACCAACTATGCCATAGTGTCCCCAGACAAGCTGATTTCTACTCAGAGGAAAAAATAATGTGATATTTTCACCTATGGGACATATGCAGAGCAAACTGAAAAATATTTCAGCACCTTCACCCTCTACCTCTTTCTCTCTCTTCCTCTGAGCCTATTCCCATGGCCAGCCCTGAGTCTCTCACTCCTTCCCTACTCTCCAATCTGCTTTTTCCCCTTGAAGCTGTTTCTCTTGGAGCCCTTAGCTGGCCATAATATGAATCAAAATGTGTTCTTGGACATCAGGTATTCTTAATAAAGAAAATATTTTTGCTTTAATCGTTTAAACCAAATACTACTAATCTTTAATGATTTTCTCAAAAATACCCCAAACTCTAAAAGCACCACTCAAAAAGAAATTAAGTTACCGTTCTATATGTGTGTGGCCTCTACTGATTTCTTCCCCCAAGAAAGAGAAGCTTCTGATTAAATAAATAAATAATAAACAAATACATTTTTATTCTCTTACCTTCGCTAAGTCCCTTAGGTCTTAGGGAAGAATTTTATCTGTCACATTAATTATGCTCTAGATCATCAGGAAAAAAATTACTTTTAAATAAGCAGGGTTTTTTTTTTTTTTTTCAACTGTTTATCGCTTAAGTGTGAATTATATAGCTACAATGCAAAGGCACTTTTAAAGAATGTTTGTGTTTTGAGTACAACACTGTGGTTAAGAGTTAGGCTGCCTGGTGGGATTCCCACCTCCACTATTTAACCTCTCTGTATATTGGTTACTACAACATCTAAAACTGGGAAAATAAAGAGTTCCTATTCTCTTACGGTTGTGGTGAAAGTTCCATGAAAAAAGGCACATAATGTACCTAAAGCAGTGGTTACTGCGTAGTAACTATCCATTACATGTTTGTTGTTACTGCTGTCACGATTCTTGTTACACACAGACATTTAACTGCAACACAAGGCAGTGAGCGATAAGAGTTAGAGCACAGGTAAAAAGTGAGGGAGTGCAGAAAAGCACAATTGCTTCCACTGGGCAAAACTAAAACGGGGCTGAGAGGTTTTGACGGATGAAGGAATGGTTAGAGGATGTGAAAGGGAGAGTGAGTGATCAAGAGTGACCTGAGGAAGGACAATGAGACTCAAACGTCTGTGGTAATCCCCAGGAACGGCCAGTATGAGTAGTAGCTGAACGGGGCATACTTGGAAAGGATGGTTAAGTGATTCCTTGGAGCCCCAAAACAGGGAGTCTTGAATAGCAGTCACAAGTGTCGAAGGTTAATTTGGGAGCCATCAAAGACACTGAGCAGGATGATCTCTGCTCCCCAATGAAAGACAACTCCAAGTGGAGAGATGAATTGGAAAGGGAAAGCTGACAGCTGAGGTGAGGAGGATTAAGTGATGACTAGGACCCGATGGATAAGCAAAAGTGAGAAATCAACTACAGAAACTGAAACAATTCTGAGATGGAACATCACCACCACACTACGGAAGCAAAGCTTTGAAGCTTTGGACAACTGTCAAATCATTATTTGCAGACAACTTGACTCATTTAAATACTAAATTGGCAGTGCTAAAATAGAAATAAATTCTGGCAATGGCCTTCCTATGAGCCAGACCTAATCCAATAGCCTAAAGTGGCCAACACTATCCCATACAGAGTTAAATTCTATCCAAACTTTATATCCACTATAGGAGAAGTACTCCAGGCAGCATTCAGCATACATATAACAGCATAAACACATTTAGGGAAACTTTTCAAAGCTACAGAAGTCAATGGGCCTAAGGAGTATGCTCACCCTTTATACTGCCATAGCAGTATTTCAACGGGCACTTTACATATTTCACAAATGTTGCTAAGCTTTAGTTTCTAAATTAAAATGTATCCTGAATCCCTCTGCAAATCTGGGTTTTAAAAATGATGCCTAGTTTGAGGGAATGTGCATTTAATTATGATATCCCTGGGAGCTGTGAATCTCTAGGAAATAGTCCAAAGATCTTTCTTAGTTTGATTCAAGTAATAAATATTCAAAAAGGGTGGGGTAAGTAGAACAACCAATGAGCCTTGAAGTGAACAATATGGGGCAAATTTTTGTTATTTAAATAACGATCTGCAGATGTAGGAATAAGAATTAGCAATAGTGGATTTCCTTTTCATCATCCAGAGAGTCTTAAAACTTATCTGCAGATTTAAATAAGAAACTTGTGTGTGAGAAAATTAAACAGCATGTAAATGCTAAGGATCCCTATATTGCTTTTTAGGAGACACTCTCAAATTCACATTCACCAAAACAGAGAGAGCAAAGGCACAGAATTATTTCTCTCTAGATACAATTAGTGAGGGAGTCATCCTTGTACTTACCTAAGATATTTTCATGCCTCAGCATCACAGTGTTGTACAATTCTGTTTCCCTGAACCATGACTTCTCATCACGGGAGGAGAAGATCTTCACAGCAACGTTTTCCCCTTGCCAACTGCCCCTCCACACTTCACCATACCTGCCTTTCCCTATGGAAAACAAAGCATAGGTGACACGGAACAGTAGGCGTTTCGTAGGTAGCCAGCCTATCATTAAGAATAAGCCAATTAATTTAGTGCATGCAACTCTTACTCCCCTCCATTCCTTACTGAAGAAACTCAGCTTGGGAATATAAATAGCACAACCTTTAATTTTTAGTTTAGGTTTTTTTTTTTTTTTTTGGCCTATAAAGACATACAAAAATAAGGTGGAAGCTGCCCCTCTCATCTACCATATTGTGGTAACAAACTGCCTTCTATATCTGCATTGTATAATTAGCTGCTAATTACTCAGTTTACACTTAAATTCCCCTGTTGAAAGGTATAAAATGCATATGATTTTTAAAACACATGAAAGTAAAACTTAGGAAATGGTGCGGATGATTAGATTTCAATTGTGTTCTGAAAGCCAAAAAAGTGTACATCAGTAAATTGAATTCCCTCCTTGGTTCCTTCCCTCCACACAGGATCAACATAGGCACTTTCTAAGCTGTCCAAATTGGTGAATTTAGATATGCATTTTTTCCACAAAGGAGATCAATTAAGTTTAAAATGTGTGTTCTAAGGATTAAAAAACAAAAACAAAACAAAACACAATGCTGTGACGCTGTGTAGGGGGTCGACAAGCAGCCACTGCCATCCACAAAGATTTCTTGGCGGAAGATGTATTTCAAAAGAGGATTTGCAAAGTCTTAAATACACACATAATCCCAGGACAGTTCTGACTTCTTCTGACACTGGTTATGGGTATTTCTTTGTCAGACAGCTCCTGTGATGCTACCAGTGGTCTACACTGAAAAGGTCACTTGCAGAATACATTTTGGAAAATGTGGCAACGCTACCTGTGATCTCATCTGTTTGGTGCATGGCCCCCGTTGCAGCAGCAACACACTTGTCAGCTCGTCAACTACATGCTCCCTCTTCCATTCTTCTCTTTAATTATAGGTAGGGGTGATCAGGGAGGTTGGAGGAGGAGGTAACTACCACAAGACTATGAGGATCAACAAGGGGTATAATCAGCCTAGATAACAAAGCAAGGCATACAACTTGCAGGGGAGTGGGGCTTTCTACCCAGGCAAGTGGCTGCTGGAATCACACAGCTTCTACTTAGCAGCTGCAGCACCACCTGCAGCTACAGGAATACAGTTCTTTGCTGGAACACTAAGCCACGGAAAACCCAAACATGGAGAAAGAAGCAGGTCTGTCCAGGAAACACACCTGAATCATAACCACAACCACTAAATCTAGACTACGGGACAAGAAAATAATGTCCCTATTAAATACCAACAACTAACCCAAAAGGATGTTGAATGTGGCTAACAAGTGCTCCTTGTGGGCCACTGTTAGGTCACACAAATATAATTTAGTACAGGATTCCTTTTAATAAAGTCATAGCAATTTGCCCAGCATTTACAGCTCAAGGTGAGGGCTAGTGCTAAAATACTACAAATACTGGCTGCCAGAAAATGATATGCTCATCTTTTCCTGCCTTTGGTTCTATTTTATCTTTATTTTCTCTTTGCCCTCATTTTCTCATTAGGAATGAGAGCAAAATAACCCAGGGAATTATGGACATAAAATTACATCAAATCCTTTTTGTTGCTGTTGTTTTAAAGAAAGCAGGAGATGCTGAGGTAGGTAAATTGAAATAGAAATATTTTTCAATAGTTTTTAAATGCTTTTAAGTTGTTAAATGCTTTCTGCAAATGCATCATGATACAGAAGCCCCTAAAACAAAAGCAGAGCTGCCCAAAAGCCCTGGTCATGGAGCCCCACCAAAAGGCTCCCGTAAGGCACCTGAAATTTGTAGTTCCACTGATCATCATCCAGAAATGACTCCCCTAACCCAACTTCCCATGTTTTCGAACCAAAAATGGTAACATAGCATCCATGCAGTTTATCATATATATTTTTACTAAAAGCTGAACCATATGAACAAACCACAAGCTACTGAAAGGCATTCCTTTCAGTAAAATCTTTAGTCCTAACCCAAGAAAATGCAATAATTATATTTATACTGTTTCAAAAAAATGCTGAAGAATATCTACGAACCAGAAAGGTGGTTCTATATTTTAAAGGTACACTATTATTTGCTCTTTGGACTCTGGAGCCAATCTCTGAAGATTAATCTTGAGATAGCATGCACGAGGTAGGAGAAGAGACGGGAGGTGAGACAGGGAAACGGATCCCCTCAACGTCTTCCCACCACTACCCAGATAATCTTGTTCATAATCAAATAAGATACTAGTTGATACAAGAGGACAACTCTGATTAAAATTAATGAGCACATTTGGGGCTTTTCCATCTTTCTCTATTCACAATCTGCTGTGGAGGAGAAGCGAGAAGGGGGAAACAGTGGCAATAGTTGTAGACCTAGAGAAAGAACAACCAAGCTCCTGCCGGCTATTCCTGTGCCTTGGGGTGGCAGCCACTGTTCTTCCTACCTCTGCCCATCCCCCTTTCTACTTCTCAGCTTGGGGTGTCCCTCCTTCCATGAAAAAAAGAAAAAATCTGGAGAACAGCAGCCAAGTGGTGGGGGCCGCTTATGGGTCACCTCCCAAAAACAAAAGATGCAATGGCAGGAGCTGCAAAGTCCATCCCTTAGAAATCAGGAGCACTAGGAGGAAGGTGTAGAGACGCTGCCAACCCATTATTACTACTGCAGCCATCCTTGCAAGTCATCTTAAAGAGAAACTTAGGAAAATGGTTATGGAACTTGCAAATACCTGCCACATAAAAGTAAAGCTAAGAAAAATCAGGGAATAGGCACTTTGTACCATCTTCCTAGAGAGCTAATCAGCAGTATATGAAACAAGCTATAAAAAAACTTCACAAATTTTGACCCAGGAACCCCCAATTCCTGGAAATTTTTTCTGAGAACTCAAAAGAAAGAAGCAATGTGTGCAAAGTCTTTCTCAAGCAGTATGGTTATAGTTATACTACCATGCCATGGACTGCTCCATAATCTTTAAAAATATGTGTAATGTGCACAAACACACGAAATTGTTCATGAGCTTAAAACTGAAAGAAAGGACGCAAGTTTATATCCAATATCTATGGTAAGGACATAAATTTATACCCAATATCTATGGTAGGGGGCAACCATATCAATTCATTTTTTTAGAAGAGAACAACAACTGTAGTTGAAATTAATGGGCACATTTGGGGCTTTTTATAATGAATTAATTCATTTTTTAGAATGAATTGATATGGTTGCTCCTTACTATAGGTATTTTAGAGCAATCGTATGAAATCATTCTCTCATCCTCCCAAAGGGTCTACTTGCACTGAAAGCTTTTGACTAGGCATTCTCTGTACTAATTAGTGATAGACTCCTTTGATAAGAGCTTCAACAAGTTCAGGTGCTCCAGCGTGAGTCAGACAGGATAGTGACCACATCTCCTAAGTTTAATAAGAAAATAACAGGCAACAAAAAGCAGATTTTCCAAGTTCCATCTTACTTTGAAAACCACAACACTGCATATCACCCACAAAGAAAGGAAAAAAAAGAATTACCGACACACTCCAACAGTGTAATCTGGCGAGCCACTGTTCTTTGTACCAGAAAGGGAAGACCAGAGCCACTTCCTGATGTACACGAATGATCCAATAAATCCTGTAGTTTAAGACAAGGGGGAAAAGAAACTATTGAGCAATACAGCCCCCACTTTGGAGTACTAGCATGCATGGCATTGTAACTCACATGAAGGGCAGCAGCCCGGGACGCATGGCCTGTTAGTGTGCATGTAAAGCTCCTCTGGAAGAAGGAAGAAGGACTGGTTTTATTTCTTTAGAATACTAGAAGCTAGCACCTTACCTAATATATGGTAAGTTTTCCTGAAGGAGAAGTAGTCCTTTCCTATATTCAGAGTTTCAAAATAAAAGAAGCTGAGCAGACAAAGTTGAAGGTATAAATCAGAAAGTCCAAGAAGCAGAGCCGAGCACAAGGAAACAGTAGAGAGAATAGCAGGTGGAACAGAAAGGGGGGGACGTCCTTTCAACTTCAAGAACTGGGTGTAATTTACCATATTCTGCTATGCTCACTAAGTATCTGTCAAATGATTCACTTTAGTTGCCATACCAACTAAGGAACTCTAATTAGGAACAAACAAACTAGAAATAAGGAACAAACAACTCTAATGTGGTTTGTAACAAAAGACTCCAATGACCATGTGGATCATTAAATTGGTAGGCTCAGGCAGAAACGGGCTGCCTGGATGGAGGTTTCCTTTTAGGCAGGTGAGAAGCAAAATTATATTAACACCTACTTGTCATTTCTTAATATGAATCACTCACAAATCAGAGAAGGAAACAAATAAAGCCTTCATTGAAACATAAAACCAGTGCCCCAAGTTAACGTCTACAAAAGAAGGTGTTGGCAAAAAGATTCCCAGTTAGTTCATTGATAAAGTTTTCCTTCTTACTCTCAGCATAAGTCAAGAACCAGAATGTCTTTTGGTATCAGGAATAGGTTATCAATAATAAACAATACTGTGTCCATGGATGACAGAGGTAGGATTGCAGTAATATTCAGTTAATATTCGTCAAAGCTCATCCTTTCCCAAACATTTGGCTGGCCTACTAAAGCGATACATTGATTTGTGTGAATTTCATCTTCTTTCACTTCCTCTGAGCACCACTGTGAAGTACTGTTGATCGGCAAAATTACCAAAAGCTGAACATCCAACGGAAGAAATTTAGAACCCTTAAAAACCACAAAAGGGATAATCAACAAGAAAATGAGAGTAGATGAAGCAGAGTTTCATATCTCCCTAACCATCTTCTCTCTTGCGGTTCTTTTTTCTCCTTATTCATTCAGTTTTTTTTTCAAGAAGAATAATTCTGAAAATTAAACTAATGTTTTGTTTTTTCATAATGTATAAACCTGCTTCTAAATGCAGTTCATAGACCTAAGGAAGGAAAAAAAAAAAAACCATCAACCCAAGACTAATAAGCATATATCTCAACTGCCAGATACCAAGCCTTCTTTTTGTTCTTTTCTTTTTTTAAATTAAAGACAACATCTCACAATATTGCCCAGGCTGGTCTCGAACTCCTGGCCTCAAGTGATCTTCCCCCTTGGCCTCCCAAAGTGCTGGGACTATAGGTGTGAGCCACTATGCATGGCCAAGGCTTGTTTGTCAATGTAGATGTGCAGTTTAGTAAGGGTATGTTTTGTTGAAACATACAAATGAGCATATTGCTTAAATAAGCAAGTATGCAGACCAACAATGACAACTTGTTTTAAATAGTGTTCTTTACTGTGTTATTATATCATGATATACTGTCATATGACATGGTTGAGTTTAAAAGACTATTTTGGCATATGCTCTATTCCTCTTTCAAAATTCTAAAAGCTATTTAAATGGTAATTTGTACCAAATATTCCTATTATTGCCCTGGGTAATTAGTTACGTTAGCAGCTCTGAAGAATGAAGTTCTAACAAACTTATTTTAGAATCTTGCTTTGCTAAAGCTTTGTCAGGATTCATCCTCACATCTTCTTGCTACTAACTCAATAAACTCATTTAATTTTCCTTAAAGCTTGAAATAGACTTCTAAGTATATATCTAACAAAAAAATTGTATTTCTCTACTTTTTGAAATGAAATGTCCTTATACTGCATTCGCTTTCCCCAGTTCCACTATACCACAGTTTAAACAGTAGGTAAGTGGAAGCTACAGAAGGTTACGTCCCCCTTTTACATACCAAAAAGTGGCCCAGTGATGGGGCAGGCAGTAGAATGGGATGTTTCCCAGTCCATATCAGGTACCACCAAATGTTGTGACAACTTGTCACAGGTGAATCCTGCAATTGTCCAGGTGTAGCAGCTGAGCTACCCAGACGGCCACTGGTGAGGGGAAGTCTTCACCAGCATAAGGGAAGCTGCGGGGCAAGTGTAACTATAGAACTATTTAGCACTTTGAAACTTGTTTTATAGCAGAACAAGTCTTACTGCGAAATGATTTCAAATACACATGGGCAACGGCATTAAGTAACAGTGAATCATATTAGAAAGTTATTACTTTGATTGCCTTTCAATTCATCAGATTGTCACAAGGAGAGAGTCTCAAATTGGTATTAGCATGACTCTTACACTCCCTTAACACCCATAAATCTCAAATTATTCTCAGAGTAAGCATCAGACTCAGTATAACATCCACGCAGAATGTTATTATTTTTTTCTTTTGCACTTTATGATAACCTTCTATTTACAGCAAGTGATATCCCTTCCCCATTTAAAGTTCAAAGTTTCTTTAAAATGAACACTTGGTAAGCAATTTTAAAAGGTAAATAAAAGGAGAAAGTCACTTTTTAATGTGAATTAATCATTTAAAAATACGCAAAAGAATTTAATGTATAAATACAATAGTTTCTAACACTGTGCAATCCAATGGGTTAGTGACTAGACACATGTTGCCATGAACAAGTAAACTGTGGCCAGTGTGAACTGAAATATGCTATAGGTGTAAAATACACAAGATTCTGAAAACTTACTTCAAAAGCAAAAAGAATGTAAAATGTACATTAATAATTTTTTAATCAGTTATACGTTGAAATGACAAAAATGAGATGCATTTGGTTAAATATTTGTTAAAATTAATTCTACTTTTAAGAAACTTTTGGAGTTTTTTCATTTGTTTGTTTTTAAGGTGGCTACTTGAAAATTTAAAATTACATATGTGATGCACACGTTTCTATTGGACAAGGGTTTAACCAAATGACTGCACTCCACAAGGGGGCACCACAGGAGCATACAAAATTTAAAAGCTTTTTTGGATGTCATGTTTTTAAGCCTTAAATTACAGGGTGCTGAAATAATCTAGAAAGGAAATTCATCTTTAATAGTAAGCAAAAGGTGCCTTTTTAAAAGAGCACTTTCGTGGCTAAAAATAGAGTAACTGAAGACCACAAATTTCAACTCTCCAAAATTGCAGGCAACCATTCTCCTGTCTCTTTTGCTTTACTCTTCAAAGAAAAGTAACTAACTACCAACACTACTAAAATAAATCCCATCCCTTATTTAAATGTCTGTCTAAAATGGCTGTTCTGATATGGGAAGACTACACAGGTGCCAGCATGTGCTTGTTTAGGACATAAGTAACCAACAGCATGTGTGTACACTGTTCAGTCACTCATTACTGGTTAGCGTTTCATGCTGAAATAAGAATGTGTCTCCAGACATCTTCCTTATGCTTGGGATTCCCTGTGGGGTCATGACTTACTGCCAAAGTGCTGTCTCCAACATTGGTGGTGATAAGCCCTTCAATGGTGCCATACTCCACGTCTCGGGGATTGAGACGTTCTTGGTTGCGCCTTTTAAATTTTCGGAAAGCCACTCCCAGCAAGCAGGCTAAAAGACATACTGCGAACACTACAGAGAGAATAATGAGGCCGATCTCCAAGTGGAAATTCTGTGTTCCAGGGAAGGATTTTCCTGCAGTTGGGGGGAAAAAGGGGAACTGGTTGTAAGGATCACTGCTTACTTATTATTGGCGTAACCAATATCCTAACGAGTAGCTCCTGATCCCAACCACACAGTGTCAAAACTCAAGAAGTATTAAAACTAAAACACTTCCTAATACCTGGCCAATGGTGCAGCCATTTTAACCATCATTCAATTAGACACAACTAGAATTTTTTTAAATTCCACTGAGAATCAATTGTATTAATACATGAATCTGAAAGTGCTTTTAAAATATAAAGTACTGTACAAATCTTTGATATGAGTCTTAGCAACCTGGATTTGGTATGTTTCACCATCAAGCCCTTACAGATACTACACTGATATCCTTAGGAGAAAGGGCTATCTGAGCTAAAACTAAATTACCCATCTGTGGTCTCTGTCTTCAGTATATCCTGGGTGTCTACCGCTGATCTCTCATTGATTTTTTTTACATCACAATTTCTGCCTAGGAACCTATTCATTCCTCTCTTCATTTACTTACTTATTCAGACATTCATTCACTGACTCACTCCCTGGGTTCAGGCCTCTTCATAACATTATGTCATCAGGCCCTTTTCTTCCCTACATATGACTTACTCATTTCCATGTTACTGGTCTCTTCAGTCACCCAATCACAAGCCTAAATTCCTTTAAGTATTTCTTTAACTTTCCAAGCCCAACTAATCAACAGCTTGGCATACATCATACTCAATAGCATATGTCATTTTTATGAGAAAGTGAGAAACTAACAAAATGCAACATTGAATTATAAATACTGTGGCCTCCCTAATCAAATGAGAATGTCTTTAAATTAAAAAATCGGCCAGGTGCGGTGGCTCAAGCCTGCAATCCCAGCACTTTGGGAGGCCGAGGCGGGCGGATCACCTGAGGTTGGGAGTTCAAGACCAGCATGACCAACATGGAGAAACTCCGTCTCTACTAAAAATACAAAATTAGCCAGGCATGGTGGCGCGAGCCTGTAATCCCAGCTACTAGGGAGGCTGATGCAGGAGAATCACTTGAACCAGGGAGGTGGGGACTGCAGTGAGCCGAGATCACGCCATTGGACTCCATGGAGCCTGGGCACAAGAGTGAAACTCAATCTCAAAAAAAAAAAAATCTGCTATTAAAACTCAAGGTCTAGCAGAGTGATCTGCAGATTAGAAACTTCACAATGTTGGTATAATAATTTTTGTATGAATTCAGACATTTCTTCATGTCTATCCACTCAATTAATAAAAATTTAACTCACAAACAGTAAATTTTATTCCATCAAGGACGCTTTTAGTTTTAACCATGTAAATACTTGATCTATTTTACACTTGATCTTAGCTAAAAGGCCAAGAAGCAATACTTGATCTATTTTAAAATCCTTTTTTTTGATTATTCAATCCTATTTGCTTGTCAAAATTTAACCTTTTCTATATGCCTTCAAGTCATCACCATAACTTCAAAATTACTAGAACATGATCCTGCATCAGCTTTTTTGTTCTTCTGTCTCCTTCCTTGCTGGCTGACATTTCTGGTTTGGATGCTGCTTGTTACCACTCCTCCACTTTTTGGTTTGTTTCTTTTTTCTGAGTACAAAATTAAATAATTAAACCTATTAAAAATGTACTATATGGTAAGAGAATAAATTTGGCTTAGAATGAGTCTACATTAATAGTTGCAGACTGTTTATGCAATTTAGGGCTCATTTAACAGGGAAACAGTTTCAAAGGAGGATTGGTTTCCATATACATATACAATCTGTATTGAATATGGTGGAGAGAAGATTCCACATAAACTACAGGGTTTGTGTGAAATTTCATCCTGCTTCTAGTGTCAGTGATAGGTCACTGGGCATCAGATATGGGAGAAGAGGTCAGTGAGCCTTCTTTTGTCTCCTTCCTCATAAAACAGGAAAGGCATTCCACTCAGTCATCAGTCCGTTCCACTTTCTCCCTACACACCTGACATAGAGATGAGTATGTGCGAGCAGAATTGTTTCAAAAATTATGAATAACATCATGGCTTCGTAACATAAAAAGGTACTGGGAGCTGTTCACCTGAGTCACAGCAACCAAGAGACAGCTAACTGGTCAGCCAAGCTGTCCCCAAGATGGACGTCACCTTGTTTACATTCCCCAAAATGCCCATCCTTCTTTTAGATGCCAAAAGGCTGGTGGTCCTTTCTCTTCTTCACCCAAGGCTACCTTCCTTGTAGCTCTTCACCTCTGGCTCCAAATGTAGGTGGAATGCCTCGTAGCTACTTAGATCTTTAACCCACACAGACTCAGGAGAACACTAACAAAACCCCTTGATCTCAAAATAGAAAAGTCCACAAGAACCTTTCGTGGGCAGCTGTGCCGTGATGTTCCTGTTACACCAGTCCCCTTGGCAGCACTCCACAGCTTGGCCAGGGGACGGTGGGGTCTTACAGGTCATCTTTCCCTGCTCATAAACCTGGAAGCAGCCTTTCTGGTAGACGTGGAAGCCATCGTTGATGCTCAGTGAGGAAAAGCACTGCTGGCCTTCACAGTGGTCCTCATTACCACAGGAGAGGCCTTCACACACACACATGTAGAGTTTGGGGTTGACCTTGGGCATCTCATCTGCAAAGGAGAGAAAGGTAGGGGAAACAAGAATTACTGTATGAGTTTCACCTTCATTGAGAGAATGATCATTCCAAACACCTCTATCAAACAGAAAGTCAAGCTAAGCATCACCATTGACCAAGAGGTCCACATTCTGTGATTGTCGCTTAACCAACCAACAAATAATACTTGCCTCTCAATGTAGCAATTCATTTATATAAGCTGTGCACCCTTTTAGATCATATTAAGACAAAGATTGGCTATCACCTGCTCATAGACTTCTGAAAATGAGCTTCTCCCCCTATGGTGTTCATATAACCTTCAGCTTGATTGGCTCTCAGATCCCAATTACTGCATCAAAATAAAATGTTTTACTGGAACATAATATTTATCACCTTTATTCTATTCCAAAAAAAAAAAACACTCCTAAATATATGGCAGCTATTAATACCAATTCTTGCTAGCTCTGTACAAATCCCCACCAACTAGTAAAACAAGGAATGCTGACATTCTTGAAGCCACATGACAGAAATCGACGACAAGCTGAGTATCCCTTACTCAAGATGTTTAGGACTAGAAATGTTTCCCATTTAAAATCTTTCTGGATTAGAGAATATTTGTATTTATACCGGCTGAGCACCTCATTTCCAAAACTCCAAAATTCAAAACGCTCCAATGAGCATTTCTATTGAGCATTGGGTCAATGCTCAAAGGGTCTGGATTTTGGAGCAGTTCAAACGTCAGATTTTGGGATCCAGGATGTTCAACGTATAATATAGTAAGAGTTTGTGCTGTGCACGGTGGCTCACGCCTGCGATCCCAGCACTTTGGGAGGCCGAGGGGGGGCAGATCACGAAGTCAGGAGTTCAAGTCCAGCCTGACCCACATGGTAAAACCCCATCTCTATTAAAAATACAAAAACTAGCTGGGTGCGGTGGTGCGCGCCTATAAGCCCAGCTATTCAGGAGGTCAACGCAGGAGAATCACTTGAACCCATGAGGTAGAGGTTTTGGTGAGCCAAGATCACGCCACTGCACTCCAGCCTGGGCTACAGAGCAAGACTGTCTTAAAAAAAAAAAAAAGAGTTTGCAAGAATTCACAATCTATAATTACAATCCATGGTACCAGTATTTCCAGCTAGATGCCTAGACTAACTTTTTCAATAGTGGTAACACTGAAGTTTACATAGATGATAGTGGAAATTAATAGCTGCTTCAGAGTTTTTGACTAGCAGGAACAAAAAAACTGGTGCCAAATATGGAGAACAAGGGCACAAGGAGACAGAATTGAACAATGTTTGAAAAATAAGGTGACAAGCAGGACCACAGGAAGAATCCACACCTGGTGCACTCAAGGTGCAGTGGCAAGAGCAGCAGAAATGGATGAAGAGGGAAGCACACCTAATCACTCCACTCAATTGTCTCTTTCTGAGAATAGGAATTTGCAGTTTCATTTTCACGTTACTCTTTCCTCTTCCCTTGTCAGTATGATTAGTTTAGATTTGCTGGTCTCACAGTTTCTACTAGTGGGGAAGGAAAGTGTGGATAAAATGTAAACAGCCAAGTCCTAGAGGCCACTGATTAGTTAGCTGAGGCCACTTTTGTCAAAGCACTGTTCATATAAGGAAACTCAGCTTTCAGAGCTCCCTTCAAAGGTCTATGGCATATAGAAGCTACCTTAATCCCTGAACCCTCAGTAGTGAGTCTGTGAGATAAATGCTTCTTTCTTAAAATAACAGGTCGGGTGGCTGTGCTTTCCAGAGGAGACGTTAAGGTAAGGTCTTTGAAAATGTCAAGTTCATTTACACAGATTTGTGTGGGTGTGTGTAGAGATGTGGGTTATCTCAAAAAGAGAAAAGCATTCTTAATCTTTCTTCTTCCCTCTTCAAAGAAGTGGAAAAATAGTTCACTGCCCACTATAATGTGGGTGCCTCGGCCCACAGAGTAAGTGCATGCAGACACACAGACACAGCCTTCTATTTATAATTGACTTGCCAGTTCTTTTGAAACCCACAAGGGGCTCATCCAAGAGCAAAGACATGCCTGAAAGCAGAAAATCCAAAATAGCCGCTGACAGTCTATGTATGTCACCAGTCTCACCCCTGAGAATCAAGAGCCCTCAAACATTTTTAATGAGCAAAAGTTTTAATGAGCAAAGAGATAGTCTTTATGTTCTTTGCTTGGAGAAATCCGAAGGAAATTCCAGCAACAATCTATTTCTATGAGGATGAGAAACATATATATCTGTTGACATAATCCAGCAAAAAGTTTACACTTGCCAAAAGAGAGCTGAAAGATAATATTTCCAGGGAGTCTAGACATGCTTGCCACTCTTGAATGGCACAAAGCACGCTGAGGGCTGCCAACTATGCTGCCCAACAGGTGATGATTCTTTGGAGGGAAGTGGATGGGTGGGGTGACAGGGAGAGTTCACGGTGTCAGACTAATTCACTTGTGATCTACAGCAGGGAACTGAAAAGACTACGCTAAAAACTGAAATAATGCAATTTATGTAAATTTGAAACACAAATATGGATTTTAAAATCCTGAGTATTTTTCAAAGATCATAGATACCCCAGGACAGATACCTAACCCATTTAAGAGTATGTGCCTGTGGACGCTGGTCTGGGGAGTAAGGCATTAGTGCTGGGATGGAGCAAAATAAAAATAAAGTAGGAGAGAGCTGTTCATGGACTGATAATGAATTGACGAGTATGATTTACTCAGCCCGCTGCACGTATGGGCTGCTAAGAATAACAATAAACCAGCAACCCTAGACTAGAGAGAGCCCGCTCAGTGGTCCTCCAGAAATGGACAGTCCAGGGAACCAAAGGATTAAGGACACCTGTGGTTGTAATTTAAAAATGCCAAATTAAAAAAAAATAAAGTAACAACAACAATCATTTCTCTAATGTGCTCTCAAAATTAACTCTGTTTTTAAAGTTCCATCCCAAACTAAACTCCAAGTCCACAGATGCAGGAAGAGGCACTGCTTTTCCAGGGTCTCTAGTTTTTGACAGGCTATGCAGGCAGCCTGACAAACGTTTGGACTATAACCTAAAGCGTTTTGCCTGACGTGACAGCCTCGAGTAAATATCCCCGTCAGTAAAATACAACTCATTATACCTAACTCTGTGGGGTACCTAGGCTTTAATCCTTCAGGGTCGCAAACTAAGTCAAAGGGATTCATTTGGTTATTAAGTACTCTACTTAAACTCTTTCTATACTTCCTGTAGTTGTATGTAGACAACCAGGAGTTAATTACCTGTAAGTTGGTGATTCTTTTCAGTAAGATGTCAAATACCAGGGTTTTCATCTACCCTACCCTCCACAGTCGAGAAAAGGGCAAGGAAAGACAACATTGGTTAATGATATGTAATAATTAACTTAATCTCTGATATGAAAGAACCCTGAGCTGAGTCCAATAGTTAGCTAACGGGGAAGTACAAAACCTTCACTAACTTCTCTTTCCTATTTTGTTCCTCATCTACCGTTCAATCTTCTTACTTTGCATATTCCCATATGACTAATTAGAAAAGTCCTTCATGTATTTATTTTTTATATATACCCAAATATAAGTGAAGACCCTAAATTCCTAAGAATGACAGAATGACCACACAAGTGCACGCACATGCATGCACACACTCACATTCGCTACATGCCACTTTGGCAATTTCATCTGACAGAGTGGAGTAGACGGAAGGATTTTCTGAACCAGAATTACTAACTTAACAAGGTTAAAAGCAAGGTAGTCATGGCATTCTCAGATCTTAATATCCGTATTTCTAAGGAAGACAGCAGGACTCAAAATGCCCATGACTCACTTTTTTAGTCTTGTCAAATTTAGGAATAAGCATGACATGTGTGGGCCTGTGATATTTTATTTGGTGTGGGAGTGGGGGTGGGGTTCAAGAATGATCCCAAAACCACTTTCAGGGCCACAGGTATGGGTGTGTAGATTCCTAATCTTTCAGACTGTGATATAAATACAGCAGACATCAAGAAACACTAAGGAACAGATAATCACATTCTGTGACTGATTTTCAACAGTCCTGACAGGAAGCGCCATATCTGATGTAAAGTATTTTACACTTGCCTGTGCGAATATCCAGGAAGTGCCCTGGCAGAAGGCAGAAAGTCTACTCTACCGAATTGACATTCATTTGAATAATTCAGTAATTTAAATGTCAAGCCAGAGGTATTCCCTCTCTGCAGAGCTCACCCACATTGTTTGTTCTAGAAGGCACCTCCCGGCATTACTCAGTGTTATGGCTGGCACTGTGTGCCCTTTGTATCACCAGAGCCAGAGCCGTGTGAAAACACTCACAGCCTGGGCTGGCTGGAAACAGCAGGGAATTCTGACCACAAACAGAGACTGCCTCAGTGCCACCAGGGAGAATACGAGGCTGGCTCTGCAAACCAGCAGTGCAGGCTGGGAATCCCAGGAGTTCACCATGGCCATCTCGTTAAAAAGATTTTTCCTGCTCTGAACAATACTCAGTTCACCATCTGGGCACACCTCCTCCAAGTCTAATGCCAGACTGGCCGACGGGGCAGCAGAACAAAGAGCATCGTGGACTTTTAGACACTGTCCACAGTTTGGTATCATCTTGTATTTCACGGTAAAAGTATTCACATTTCTGTTTCAGTGGGACTTTAGCAATCACAACCCTATGGATTTACCTATTCACGCCTGCCCAGTTATGCACTCTGCAATGCTTTAAGGCACTGAAACTGAGTCTCTAAACGGTGCACAAAAACCAACATGTCCCACTAATGTCTTTGACATAAAAGACAAATAAGAAAATGGTACAAGTAAACCGGCCCAGGGCCATGATCTGTCTTACAGGACAGCTAAAGGGAACAGGCTGAATTTTTTTACAAGTTCACCTCTCAAAGTAGTACACATCATAATGCAGAAATTAGACTGTAATTATAAAAGTCCAATAGCTCAGAATTTGTAGAGCTAAAAAAGGAACTCAAGTATCCCTGGACTCCTTCCAATAACTCTAAACAATTCATTCATTTGAAATGGCAAGCTTATATGAGGTTTATAGATTATGGGAGTCCTTCCATCGTCTCCTAATCCGGGAGCACGGTTTGGCACCTCTCCAGAATCTGAAAGCATTTGAGATCTCTGGCATTAAACAAAGGCTTTAAGAAGGATTTTGCAATGCTAGGTATCATTGCCAGCAAGCCTGCTCCTAAGACAGAAACACAAAGGTCCATCCGGAGTGCCTAGTGAAGGGCATTTGATCCTCTGACAAGAGGACTGGCTACACACTCAGGGATAAAATACACCCAGTGCCTAAATAATCTCTCATTATAAAACATTCATTTAGGGAACTCAAATCATTTTTTTTCCTTATCTGAGAGACTGACAGTTAAGTTGTAAAGCCAAGACGAAAATGTATTTCAGCAGTTATGAGAGCAAATAGAGCAATAGTCATTCAACTAAGATTGCATATGAACTGATTATCAACAGCAACAACAAAAAGTTCCAAGATTTTGAACTCCAGATGTGTTCTTCCTCCAGTGTTCCCTGCCTCAGGAAATGGCATTCCCTTTCATTCAGGTGCACAAGCCTGACTCTCTTGGGCTTCTATCACGCTCAAAATGGAGATCAGTCATTAACCTGGCCTACAAGTGCTGGCTGACCTGATCCCTGCAGGCTCTTCAGCCTCCTCTTCAGTTACTGAAAGTTCTTAAAAGGCCTCTTCTTTCTGATTAGGGAATCTCAGGTCCTTGTAAGTATGGAATTCCTTCCATGTTGAAAGTTTGTTTCCCTCCAGCCAACACTTCTCCACCTACTTAGTGCCAATCTACTGTGCAGATCTCACCTGACATGTTACTTGCTCAGAGGAGCCTCTGTTCACACACCCAGATTTAAAGTAGGAACCCCCGTTAGTTACAGCCATACTTGTGTCTGCATGGCCATTGAATGTCACCTTTCCTATAGACTGTAAGCTCCACGAGGGTGAGCTGCATCCATTAACACTTTGCTCACCATTCATTACATGCCCCACAATAACCTCAGTGGTTGGCAGGAGTCCAAGCCTGATGACTCTTTGCTTCGGAATGAATTTTCCCTTCACAGAAAGGATTTAGAGATGGGAAGAGACCTGATGCTGGTTTTCAGAGCAGGTTTAGCCCATGAAGTCTTTAAATGTCAGCACAGATCTTAAGGTAAGGTTTAGTCACCAAGCCGGCGTGCCTGTGCAAACCATTTCTTCCTAGAGGAGCTTGCCATACCGTCACATCTGTTCACCTACTTGGGCTCACGAATATAGAAAATCAGTACTTTATGTGGTGTGGTCGGTTTTTTGTTTGCTTGTTAGTTTGTTAAAAGAAACAGGTAAAATACAAATGTTCCTTAAAAAATGAGGAACTATTTAATACATTAATAGGACAGCTGGGCTCTGTGGGTGGTCCTTCTCTGGATGGTTGATTTGAGAACTTTGAGCTACGGTGATTAGAATCATCAAAACACAACACATGCCTGCAACTCATCAGCTTGGAGGGGTCAGTGCAGGACTTGGCTGCTTAGTAGAGATAAAGCTGCCCCTGCTCTTTGCTGTCATTTTTTCCTTGGTCTTTGCTGCCATATTTTTTCCCTATCAGTGAAATAATGGTACCTTCAGTAGGGAGTGGGGAAGAGTGAATTACATCATTTTCCCCTTCTTGCTCTGCTGAAGGTGATAAGGAGTCCTAAGTCATCCTGCATTTGAACTGCTGAAGCTGAGGAAAAAAAAAAAAAAGTGCCATCTGTTTATTTTGTGTCTGGGCTGACTCCCTGTCTCTGAAATAATCCCTGTAAATTAAGCCTATTGCAGCAACCACACCTTCTATTTAGAAGCCAAAAAACTCAGCCTGTGTTCAAGTGACTAACAAATTAAAGAACGCTGTGGGGTAATGACCTAAGACAATATTGGTCTGTCTTTTCCATGCTTTTTATGATTCTCTGAATGTAGCAAAGACTTGGCTTTAACAAATGCAGCATGTCTGTAAAACAACTCTTTAATATGGGAGAAAATAATGACCCCTTTATTCATTTTGTCTTTCAACTTCTTGAATCTCTGCTTCAGAGAAACAAAGGATTACAAGGCCTACCGGGAATTGCCTACTGCGGAATACTTTAGAAACTAAAAAATACTGTCTCCTCAGCATATGTGCCAATGCCCATGTCTAAGTGGAGCTCCCATTACAGGGAGAGTAAGAGACAGTAGCATACTCTGGAGGACGAGGGAAGGAAGTCCCAGTGAATTGTAAACATTTCAGAAGTCATTCCTTGTTTAGTCTCAGGAGAGAGCCAGGAATGCGGTTCCATCTCTTGAATGTCTCTGGCTGGAAACTGTTCACACTACAGGAGGAAATACTGATTCTGCAGACTCACTTTTCGTTGTTTCCCCCACCTCCTCAGGCTAAGCAGACAGTGTATGGCATTTCAGTGAGGCTTTCCTACCTGGGCTCTCCAGTGAGAATTTTGGTTTTACAGGAAACACTTAACAACGGGCTCTAGATGAGACAGAACAGTGGAGAAAGGACAAACCGATGGCTTTTGCGCTTAGTCCTCTGCTTCGATTTCTCTTTGCTTGTGCCCTACTCTACCTCTTTCTCTGGGATTCAGGGACTGCGCCTCCTCCAAGGTGGCCAAGGTTGGCTCTGCTTACCATCGGCAAGCCTCCACCACACCCCTACAGCCTTTCTGGAAGCTTTCAAACCACAGAGACAAATCCTTCAAAAGTCGTACAGGGTTTCAATGTGTTTAACAAGTCTTGAAATGCAGCCTTTAGGCACTGTGGCACCCACAGCTAAAGGTGAAAATGTCCTCCCTTAGTTAAACTCCGCTTCCCTCGTTCTACAACCTTTCCTACCCCAGAGATAAGCACAGAGGGAACAAAGTCACTTCCAGACTACAGTAGTCCCTCATCCACCGTTTCACTTTCCACTATTTCCATTACCTGCCGTCAACCACAGTGCAAAAATATTAAGCGAAAAATTCCAGAAGTGAACATTTCCTAAGTTTTCAGTTGCGTGCTGATTGAGCAGCGTGATGGAATCTCACACTGTCCAGCTCCGTCCTGGCCAGTTCGTGCATCAGCCCTTTGTCCGGCGTATCCACATTGCAGATGCTACCCTCCTGCTAGTCACTGAGCAGCTGTCTCGGCTGCCAGATCCACTGCCGTGGTATTACAGTTTGCCATCAAGGAACCCTTCCTTTACTTAATAGCTGGCCCAAAGCACAAGAGTGGTGATGCTGGCATATTGTTATAATTGTTCTATTTTACTTTAAGTTACTGTTGTTAATCTCTTCCTGTGCTTAATTTATAAATTAAAATTTATCCTAGACAAAGGAAAAGATATAGTATATATAGCGTTCGATACTATCTGTAATTTCAGGCATCCACCAGAGGTCTTGGAACATATTCCCCATGGATAAGTAGGGGGCTACTGTACTTACTTTTCATCCTAGAGGAAGCCAAAGAGATTTTAAAATAAAAGTAAAAAGGGTAAAAACAGGGCAGAGCCCAAGCCTCTGATAATGCTACTTCCCTATCCTCCAATTTCTCCACTCATTTCCCAAGGCCCTACCAAGTCTAGAACTCCATGAAAGGTTAATGAAGAAAGGAATCCCATGTCTTCAGTCTCAGGAAGACATGCTTGTGCCTCTGTATGACAGCCTTTATAACTTGATCTTTGTTTTACGTGTCTTCTTTCCCCTATCAGTCTAATTAATACAGTCCAAAATAATTCATTAATTCTCCAGTTTAACATATTGAACAAGACTGGCTTATCGGTCACAGAATAAAGATCCTACAGTCTCCATAAAACAGTTAAAATGTGAGTCATGTTGAGCTTGTTCTTTTTTACCCCTGAGCCCACAGAAAGGCTCCAGGTGTCTACACTCCAGGTAGAAACAGAAAGCGTCTCATTTGAGTGCTGTGAACCAGAACTGGCTTTTCAAACACACAATCTCTCCTCTTCAATCTGTGCCATGGCAAACCATTCCCAGCATCCACAATAATCTTGGACCTTGGCAGAAGAAAGTCAGCTAAATCTGAGATGTGTCACGAGGCCACTGGCTGGGGAGCAAGAATATCTAAACACAAATCCAGGCGAGAGCAACAAGCAAGAGTTTCCGCAGATTCCCTCTGGCTCCTGTAGCTGCAGATCACTGACAACCTAAAGATAACCCAAGTATCTACAAAGGGTCACTTTTAAATAGCAGCTTTAATGCCACCAGTCATTTCAGAAGCATTTCCTTCCAGAGCCTGCTTCCATCCACACTGGCCACCAAGTCTGTCCAATAATGGCAAGCCCACCGAAGAGATGAAAGTCCGGAAGGAAATGGAAGAAATCCCAAAAGGGAACAGACAGCTCCTGACATGCTGGGATTCTATTCTGTGGTTCTACTTGTGCCCACATTTGGACTACTGAGAAATAACAATCTAGCAAAGAGACACCTTGTAGAAATGACTGACTAATAATCACTGGGGATTAAAGAGCAGGTATAAAATTAAACTAAACAGTTTAACTCCAAAACTTTCTAAAGCTGAGGCTGTATAAACCATGGATGGCTACCACTAGGAGACTTTTAGGAAAGCCTTTCCCTCCAAGAGAAAACTTACTTAGTTTACCGGACCGCTGTTTGGCTGAGTAAGGCTATGAAGTCTTCAGGCACATACTGTACATACAGGGCCAGTACGGCCACCCATTAACCCCGGAGCACCAAATGGAGCTGATCAGAAGCCTGCTGCTTTTTTTCTTCCTTTTAAGTAAGGCCAGTTCCCAAGATCTTCCTAAGAACCATTAAACTCTGCTCAGCACCTCACCTGTCTACTGAGTAAGTCCACATTGTCCTAAATGGCAGTCGGCCAGGGGCTGGTGTACAAGGGACAGGTGCTCAGTGGGCTATTTTCAGTTGCTATCAGCTCGGTCAGAAGCTGCACATGCTCAATAGGCAGCCAAGTTTTGGTTCCGTTTCAAACTCTGGGCAGCCAAGAGACATACACCTTCACAGCTGCCAGGGCAACCAGCTGCCCAGTGCTCCTCCCAAGACGGGAGCAATGAAAACAGTGTAACCTGGCCAGCCAACATGCCAGTGAGCAAGCTGCACCTCTCATTTCACTGCCTGGGTTATTCTGAGCTGGGCTTATTGACACTCCATGGCAACACAGGAACAAAGGGCCAGCTAGAGGGATTTAAATGTCCTGCAAAAGTTGCTAGAAAAGTCAGCAGCTCTGGCTTCTGCTTTCAGAACAAAACTAGCAATAGCATTATTATTAGATGATTGTTATTTTGTCACTGTTGTTACTGTCATTTGTGAGCCACCTGTAACAGTTCTACTTTCGCACTAAGGCTTTGTTTTTGTTTTGTTTTGTTTTGTGTTGCTACAGTTGGGATGCCTTTGAAAACGGAGCATGTGTGCCTGCCTGCCCCTAAACTGCAGGAGGATGAGGCTTTCCCATCCCTTTACTTCTCATCTTGCCACACTCTATGTTCCACTTTCATCACACACCACTCTTTCAAAACATAGAAACTGCACCTACTTAATCTCTCCACAGTTTTCCACTGCCTTCGAGATAGAAGACAAACACCTTTGCACAAGGTTCTGCCAGCTCAACTCTCAACTTTAATTCCGTCTCATGACTTGGCGATCCCTCGTGGTCTCACGTCTCTGGACTTCACCCTTTCCCTGCCTGCCACGTCCCTCTTAGTCCCTCCTCTGCTGGTCTAATGGCTATTTATCCTTCAAAACTCAGCTTCCCTGCATCACCAGCCCCAAACCCAGCTCCATGTGGGATGAATGCCTCTTCTGTCCATACCCTTCATGCTATGCTGTGACCTCTGCTTTATCTAACTGGACCATGACTTCTTGAAACAGGAACCACTTCTTGCTTATGTTTATATCACCAGCGTTGTCAACTGATACTTCTGTTAATTTAAATTGATTAAAAGAATGTAAGTTCGTCTTTTCCCAAACTCATAATTATTTGAAAGAGTGCATGTGATTAGCCCAGATCAGTCCCTGTGTCTCTTATACTATCTTTTTTCTATTACCGTAATTATTATCCTAGCCAACATTATTTGTTCAGTTGTCAAATACTTATTGAGCACCAACTGCATACCAGGCAATGTCTTAGACGCCAGGGATAAAACAATGGACACCTCCATGTTCTGGCCTCTCACGTTCTAGGGCTCACTATGTGCTGGGCACTCTGCATGTCGTCTTATGACTCTTCACAGCAATTATGGTGGGACCATTATTGTCTCCATAGTACCAGGTGGCAACAGGCACAGAGAGGTGAGGGAGAAAATACACAGAGACGCAGTGAAACAGAGGATGACTAATGATGGTGCTTTGGCCTCGTCTCTTTCCTGAGAAAGGCTTGATTCCTATGCATGGCCAAAGCCTTCCTTTACGAACATACTCTTTGACTCTGACCATCAATACTATGTCAGACATTATCCTAACCCTTTGCAAAACTGAAATTTTGAAGCATATGAACTAGGACGTGAAGTTAAAGATGAAAAGAAATCGTGACTGTAAGTCTACATGGTACACTGCAGTGTTATATATATCAGAAGAGTCAAATTCTAAACTGCACTGTAATTTTTTTCCTATCCATTCTTTATAACTTTTTTGAATGAATCTCTGTTTTACTCTTGTTGTTTTTCAACTGAAACTATTTTGGTGTAGGTACCATAATTCAGAAGACAAAACAAATGCAGCAAAACATAAAAGGGGCCAGCCCCACCCCAAGTCCCCAAATCACCAATTTCAAAAAATACTGGCAGGGTTTTTTTTTAAGGTGAATATCACCACCATGCGCCCAAGAGAAATTTCTCATTCTTCCTTTTATTGTTTCTCTCCTTCCCACATCTCTCCTTCCCACATCCCACATACACATTCTCAGGAAAGTCCATGTTCTATTCTAGCCCACAACGAAGAATTAGATGTAGCATTAACCACGGCTCTAAGAAACACCCTGCTTGCAGAGCTCAGATTCAGCCGATGAGAATCAGGCCGCAGCTGCTCCCATGTTATGACACAGGCTGAGAAGGTGCAAATGTAGACTTCCCTCTTCCTGCCAAATCACCACTGGCTTAGAGAGAAAGGATGGTCAGGCTACGCGGAGTTGTGAAAAAAATAAAAGGTTCTAGGCCAGCTTTGTTGGGAACACACCAATAACCTACGGTCAGGTGTCGGAGCTATCACATGAGGGCAGCAGGAACTTCTGTGTAGTGAACCCTGGAAGCAGACTGGTGTTGTCTTTCTTAATTTCTATATGGGGTATGACCCACTACTGGCTAGCAAAATCAACTTCGTAGTTTAAGACAAGGTTTCTTTCTGTCTTTTTAAGTGAAATAAAACTGAATTAAATTTAAAAAGACAAGAAATAGGTGCACATTAAACACAGTAAGAGTGATTACTGTTTCATGAAATTTTCATTTCAGATGTGTGTGGGCACTCTCTATGCAGTGGGTCTTACTCCAAAATGTTTCTTCCTGTGAGTCACTGTCAAAAGTTTGAAAGCCACCTCACCTGTGTCTTATACTATCCTGGAATGACAACATGAGTTCTGAGTCATTATGGCCATTAGGAATAACCATTATCTATGGAAGCTTGCCTGAGGTCATCCCAGGCTGCAGAGGAAAGTTCCGGAGGGCAGTTTTTTTTAAGAGTTGCAAATTAATTTTTAAGTGTGTTTTATTTTCCTTGTTCTCCTTTCTCAAGAGTGAAAGTGGCATATACGACATGCCTACAAACCTTCTGCTTTACAAGATTTTCCATAAAGAGGAGATGGCATTCATCCTCTCATGCTGGAGACCTGTCTTTATAAAAGAGAACACTTAGAAGTGACTGCACTGCACACTGTTGACGACAAGGAAATCTCGGCTGTTGAATTTGTTTTCTCATCTGTTCAATATTTGACTTTCTTTGAATGGATTTTACCATCCCTCCATACCCTACTGCTATCCATACCCCTCTTATACTGTCCACAAAAAAAAAAAAAAAAAAAAAGAATGTAGCACTAGTTTAACTACCTATGGCTGAAACAAACACTTTTCAGGAAGGAAAGGCTAAAAGGAAGCTTTGTCACAGCTCACCTTGCACCAACTAATATAGGATCATTTTGTAACACAAGAAAATTGGATAATAAAAAAGCAGTGTCTTAAAAAGTATGATGCTTCAGCAGATATTTACATTCTAGGTCCCAGAAGTAGCAAATGGCTTAGTGTATGTCATCTCTCTCTTCCTAAAAACATCTTCCAACTGATGTTATGCCAAAGAAAAAGATTTTATTCTGAACAAGAGATAAATGACAGTAACAAGAAATAAGAGCAACAAATTTAATACTATTTCTCTTACATTCATTCACCCCTTCAAGAACTTCCTGAATCTTTAATAATGAGAAAATCAAAGAAAGGCTTATTCTATTCTCCCCAGTAGCAAAGAGGGGCACCTTTGTAACCCTAACAAAAAGTCCATTGAAGTTATCTCCTTCCTTCCCTCATTGGGTAGTGGGGTTGGAAAGTCTGAGTAGTGATGGTTTTGGAAACACTAAAATCAAGTTAACTCAGAAAATAATTTAGTACCTAGCAGTCTGCTCTAGGACAGGCCAAAATCTCCTGTGAAAAAACTCTGCCTAAGTCTGGCGTTCCTTGCTAATAAAATCTAACGGTGGCTTACAAATTTAATAAAATGTGGGTCGTCTCAGCTTTGAAATATTTCCAAAGGAGCAATATTCCCTTTAAAGTAATTGTGTCATAGTCTTCACCAGCAAATGCGTACAGGGACAAAGGAAAAGCCAAACATGGAGGCTCTGCCTTCACCCTGGTGGCATAATAGTAGTATTAGAGCATGATTAGTCTTATTAATGGGAAGGAAAGGGAAGGATATACAGGTAATTAGGACTCAAGTGCTCTTCTCTATGAGAGCAAATAAAACTCTTCCTGCAGCTAGAGTTGTATATATAATGAACATGAAAAATGATTACTGGTAGGAGAGACAAGAGAAGTAAGAAACACAACCCCAGGTGAAGGGGCCTCATCATTTGCTATTACAAACCCTCTTCTCACCCTCTCAAACAAACTGGATTGAGCTGGATTCTAGCATGCACCAGACGTAATATGAATGTGGATGTAGCTAATTTAGGGCACAAAAAAAATTGCAAAATTTTGAAGAGGACTGATAACGACTGAAGCTCTTAAACACCATTCCTCAAAGAATATGATGCCTTTTGTTGGCCGTGTTAACTTTAAGCAGGAGCTTTAACCCATCCGAACGCACATCCACAAAAATCTATCTTCTGAGGACACTTGCAAGGATTATAGGAAATAATGCATGAAAGCCAGCCCAACATCTGGTGCATATTAAGCACTCATTAAATACTGCCTATCATCATCAAACAGGTAGCTATACTGGAAAGCATTTTCCAAATCTAAGTGCTGAAAAAATTGTTGCCCAGAGCATTTAGGATTCCATAGAACTTGAGAAATGTTCTGAAGTACACTCAAACTCTACAAAAAAAAGTTGCTGTTTTGGAACTCATCTTTGAAGTGTTACTACTATTTCTAATCAATATTTATGAGACATTTGGGAGACAAAGGGATAAAAGTTATTTTTTTAATGGACTAAGAGAAGTACACTACCCAATAAAATGTATTAGAACAAAATCTCTACAACTCTCTTATTTATGCCCCAAGAATGTGATCTAGCTTCATGAAGGCACAGATAATAGGATGCCTTAACTGTCCTATAAATATCGAAGATAGATCTATTTCCTTTTGAACCTAGTAGCCTAAAGCTCACTTAGTAGTAGACAAGCTTCAGTGCTATACAGGTTTTTGTTATCGGCCCCATCATTTATCTCTTTTAGTTAAGTATTTGTACTTAACATTTGCTTTTGAACCAATGTTGAAGATACTAGAGTGTATTATAAATAGGGTTTCTCTTTGGTCTTTAAAATTTTCCTACTAAATATATAAAAACAAAATGCTGGCTGGGCGTGGTGGCTCACTCCTGTAATCCCAGCACTTTGGAAGGCCAAGGTGGATGGATCACGAGGTTGGTAGTTTGAGACCAGCCTGGCCAACTTGGTAAAATCCCATCACTACTAAAAATTGAAAAAACAGCCAGGTGTAGTGGTGGGTGCCTGTAATCCCAGCTACTCGGGAGGCTGAGGCAGGAAAATCACTTGAAACCAGGAGGCAGAAGCTGCAGTGAGCCGAGATTGTGCCATTGCACTGCAGCCTGGGCAAAAGAGCCAAGCTCTGTCTTTAAAAAAAAGAAAAAAAAAAAAAAAAAAACACACTCTAGAACACACACACACACACACACACACTCACATACACAATAGGGAGCTGAGTCAGAGGAAAGATGGCACTGCTATTATGATTGGAGTACGCCAGGCGATAGCACTCACTGGATATTCTATTTAAAAAACAAAAAAAAACCAGCAATTGCAATTAAAGGATGATACACTCTTTACCATACTTGTAAACATCCTAGTGGTAGTGGTATATTAAACAGCAAAACCTGAGTGTCAATCTATTTCCATTTCCATTTCAGCCTGAACTAAGTTGTTATATCTATTACATGTGTTCACTGTGGCATTAAGAGGTTAGTTGCCAAATTCTTGGACAGCTTAAGAGCTGAAAGCAGGGAAAAAAACAGTAACGGCATGGTTATTAACACGGCTCCGTAACTGCCCTTTTCCGCCCTGACTTTTCCCCATTCTCTCTCCACCTCTCCTTCTCTCCTTAGACTACATTTCCACTTCTCTGTGTCTTCCTCTCTCTTTTTTTATACCCTGCCTACCCTGCAGGTCCACCTATGATATCATGTGAACTGCTAAATATCACAGAGGTAGGGTGCGGTGGCTCAGGTCTGTAATCCCTGCACATTGGGACACAGGGGTGCAAGGACTGCTTGAGCCCAGGAGTTGGAGACCAGCCTGGACAACACAGAGAGACTCTGTCTCTACAAAAAACACAAAAATCAGCCGGGCATGGTGCCCTGCCTGTGGTCCCAGCTACTTGAGAGGCTGAGGCAGGAGGACTGCTTGAGCCCAAGAGGTTGAGACCACAGTAAGCCATGATCATGCCACTGCACTCCAGCCCAAATGACACAGTGAAACTCTGCCTCAGAATGAATGAATGAATAAAATTAAAAGGCAGAATATCATACAGAACTGATGGCCAGCCAAGGTGGCTCAAGGCTGTAATCCCAGCAATTTAGGAGGCTGAGGTGGGTGGATCACTTGAGCTCAGGAGTTGGAGATCAGCCTGGGCAACATGGCAAAACTCCGTCTCTACCAAAAATACAAAAAAACTAACTAGCTGTGGTGGCACAATCCTGTGGTCCCAGATGCTCAAGAGGCTGATGTGGGAGGATCACTTGAGCCTGAGAGGTGAAGACTGCAGTGAGCAGAGATCGCACCACTGCATCCCAACCTGGGTGACAGACTGAGACCCTGTCTCAAACACCACCACCAAAATAGCAACAACAAAAATATCATACAGAAGTGATATGGCAACTATGGAAGAGTGTGAAATTTGGAGGGACTTTAATTCTCAACACTCCTTAGATTTTTAAATAATAATCATATTATTTAGCAATTTAAAAGAGATTAAAAAAAAAATCCTAGAAACTTGACTGTTAGAAATGTCTCCAGTAATTGTCAAGTATTCCCTGGGGGATAAAAATACCCCCCCAACTGAAAACCACTGTTAACTCATCAAATCCTCCCAGCTTTAATACAAGCCCATTTCCTCTTATTAATTCCTTCAACACTGCCACTCAGGATCATTTTCCATACCTTCTTGGCACTAACTGACACAACTGCCATATTATGGGAATATCTTTAACAACACTGCTTAGAGTAGGGTATAGGCTAGATATCTAAAATGGTCTATAACAGCACTGTCCAACAGAAACAAAATGTGAGCCACCCAATGTAATTCTAAGTTTCTCAGAGCAGTAGGGAAAAACAGCTGAATTTACATTTTATTGTCTTCAAACTCCAGCTTATATTTTATATTTACAGAATATTTCCACTCATTGGCCACATTTCAAATGTTGTATGTAATGAGCAGCTACCACGTAGGACAATGGAGAAGTATAATATATGTCAATAAGTATGGGAAGGAGATCAAATATTATTAACCTGATATATAATGAAATAGACATACAGTATTTTAAGTACTGATGTTTTCACAGTGTTGGCTATAGCAACTTGTCAAATTGTATGCCTCCTTGGAAACTCATCAATTATCTAAAGAAGACCACTATACCCCAAAGAGTCTGTAATGGGGCATTAGTCTTACTGTCCCATCCAATCATAAGGAGGCTGAGATTCCTACAATAAGCACCACTCTTAATGGAGGAACACTTGTAAGATAAAATGGGCACTGCTCAGTGCACAATAAAGTAGAGTTTAGACTTTCCGTATCTAGAAAAATATATACCAACATGTTAAAACAATTACATGTAAGTGAAGGGAATTAGGAGTAACTTTTACTACCTTTCTCTCTTGATTTATCTATTCTGTTGTTTTCAAGTAGGGCAGGACCATCCCTGAGCAACTTTTTGGAAATGAGGGGATGACAAGGTGAGTAATGAAAGTAAGTAACCAAGGGTCAGAGACGCCAAAGGCCCTGAAATGCCTGGGTGGTGTCACACAATTAAGAATTAGCCATTTATGGCCTGAATGTTTGTGTTACCCCAAAATTCATGCCAGTATCATAATTCAAGGTTAGGGTATTAGGAAGAAGGGCCTTTTGGGGTGACTAGATCATGAGGGCAGACCCTTCATGATTGGGACTTGTGCTGTTATAAAACCAATCCCAGAGAGCTACCCAGCCCCTTCCACCATGAGACAACACAGTGAAGCCACAGTCTATGAGGAACGAGCCCTCACCAGAGACTGAATCTGCCAGCACCTCAGACTCCAACTTCCCAACCTCCAGAACTGTGAGAAATAAATGTTTAGTTTTTGATCCACCTAGTTTCTGGTACTTTTGGTTATGCCATCCCAAATAGGCCAAGACATAGCCTATGCCCCACAAGTTATCAACTCTCCCACTGAGCATTCATTTTCATGAATAATCTTTGTAGAACTGAAACCAGTACCTAACTCTGTCATACATGTATATATTGTGTTTTTATGTATGACAGAGTTAGGTACTGGTTTCAATTTACAAAGTTTCAATTTACACTGTCTTAATGTATACTAAATATTCCAAAAACATAACTACTATATAAATCAAGGGCCAATGGTTTTTTTAATTCTACCAAAATTTGTTCATCAATTCAGAAAATTCAATCACTGAAGAGACCATGTGTGATGACTAAGCCACCAATACAACACACCAGTACCAATCTGTTTTCAAAGATGCTGAAGATTATTACCTATACAGGTGCAAGCATGTACTACTTCATCATGTCTTCTTGTAGACTCACACCCAGATACACTGTAATATATACATTGGGGCTGGTTTTGTTTTTGTTTTTGTTTTTTTTAAGAGTCTTCCTCTGTTGCCCAGGCTGGAGTGCAGTGGCACAATCTCGGCTCACTGCAACCTGCACCTCTCAGGTTCAAGCAATCCTCCCACCTCACCCTCCCAAGTATCTGGGAGTACAGGTCCACACAATTATGGCCAGCTAATTTTCATATTTTTAGTAGAGATGGAGCTTCACCGTGTTGGCCAGGTTGTTCTTGAACTCTTGACCTCAAGTGATTTGCCCGCCTCGGCCTCCCAAAGTGCTGGGATTACAGGCACGAGCCACTGCACCTGGCCTTGCGTTTGTTTAAACAAATGTTTTATTGTTAATTACAGAATTTTCTCTTATTTCTCCTTTATATGTATTATTTGTTTATTTATTTATTTTTGAGACAGAGACTTGCTCTGTCACCCAGGCTGGAGTGCAATGGCATGATCTTGGCTCACTGCTACCTTCATCTCCAGGGTTCAAGCAATTCTCCTGACTCAGCCTCCCAAGTAGCTGGGATTACAGGTGCCCACCACCACATCCAGCTAATTTTTGTATTTTAGTGGAGATGGGGTTTCATCATGTTGCCCAGGCTGGTCTCAAACTCCTGACCTCAGGTGATCCACCTGCCTCGACCTCCCAAAATGCTGGGACTACAGGTGTGAGTCACCGTCCCTGGCCCTATATTTATTTTAAGTAGAAAGTTACGTTTAATTAAAAAAAAAAGTGTATGTAAAAATTCAGATATAATGTATATAAAATTTTACTTCAAAATGGTCAGTAATCACCAAATACTTACTATAAAAAGTGTGTTACATTTGATAGGATTAAGAAGTAGTTTACAGTAGTCAAAAAGATCACAGTATACTTATCTTAACCCAAAAGGATGGTGAGTCACTTACCTTCCATACTAAGGGAGGGGAAAGCAATCATTATAAGCACAGGAAGAATCATCACTCCATCTACCATTGTACAACTGTGGAGGGAAAAGAAGAGATGTAAGTAAAACATAAACATCTAACTGCAGGACAACAAATTAAGCATACCACCTTCAAACTGCCACTCAAAGCCCTTCTTACTAATCACCCTCAGATATATTGCCTTATTTCTTACAACATTTAAACATATACCTTTTACGTGGACCTAAACACATCACCTTAAAGAGTCAGTCATATTCACTTCCAACTAGTAGTCACTCCAGGGGTACTTTCTCAAAGTTTACTCTCTTACAAAGAACTCAATAAGAAAACAAAAAAATTTCAGCTACAAAGCGAGGCAGTCCCAAAAGATTTTAGGTTTGAATTTTATCTTACCCCATTGAATGCACAATTGGCACGAGATTAAAAACCCTGAGAAGCATAAATAGACTATTTTAAAATGATGTTAAAGATTAAGCAGCTGAATAATTCAAGTCAAATTACTACGCTAGAGCCTTACTTCTCCTTTAAAAGGACTGGGGGTGGAGCAACCTACATCAA